CACCAAGCATGAGAACTGCTCAAGGAATCAATCCAGGGATTTTCACTCAAAGTCTAGGAGGATGTTTTATGATCTGCCATGCTATGACAAATATGTCGCACCAACTGCCGATTTATTTTTTCAAATGATCAATTCAACGTTTTTGAAATCTGTCACCAAGCCTAGAAGAAAACAATACATACCAGCATGGCAAGGCACAACCATATCCTCACCTACTATGCCAAATGTGGTGCTGCTAGGAAAGAAACAATAAGCCAAAAATTGAACGATCACTGGTATCGAACTAATGTATTTTATTCAGCAGGACTTGCCTCCCCTAGGTAGAAGCTAGCCCCCATTCATGAAGTAATGGTATTAATAAAATACCATTACTTCATGAAAGAGAGAGAGAAAAAAAAAAAAAAAAAAAAAAAAAAACACTAGTTTTTTAAAAAAACATCCCATGTACACTATATTCTTCATTGAAAGAATGCTTCACAACAACTCCATTACATTCGATTTTTTCTTTTTTACATACACAAGTTGTAGCAAGAGCTTCACACATCCCTTTCATTTAATGCACATTTGCACTGTGACACATCGTCATGCCCCAACACCAAAATTACCACATTTAGAGTTTAACAAAAGCTAAGATAAGTAGAATCTGATGCAAAGTTCTTGGTGAAGCCCAAGGCATATTTTGCAAGGTAAGAATGTTGCGGCTTGGTACTTTTGTGAGCCAAAAATGAAACTGATAAGCAAGCAAGTACTACTTGAATGCACAAGCTTCGTTGAGAAAACTGCCAATGCCTAGAGCGAGATGGGAAAGAGTGCCATTGATATAACAACTCTATCCAGCTATTTTGTGATCTGTTTCTCGATCTGGTTGTGGGTGATCCGGTGACCGACAACTGTATTGTGTGCACTGAGTTAATGAATCCTAATCCCTATCTTGTAATAGTGTTTGTTAAGATCATTAAATGTAGTCGATGCTCTCCATAATATTTACTGTAGACTATAATAAATACCATAGCTATAGTATTTAGAGTCTAGTAGAGAAGTACTGTTTATCCTCTCCTCTTTTTTCTTCTTGTATACGAGACACAACTAGATCAATAGATTTATATATGTGAAGCTCTCTCTCTTTAGAAACCCTCTTATGTGTATGACTTACTACTACTCTTGTATGTGTGTATGACTTACTATTACTCTTGTGTCTTTCTAAAAATTCTCAATACTTTACCAGCACGATTGTCTTCTACATACTATCACAAATTTTTGCTCTAGTCTTTGACTCTTCAAACCTGTTGCTACCCTTGCTCAATGTCTGCCTCATGATCTCATTCTTCTTGTTGGCCTCTCATTAGCTGCTTGCTTAAAACACTTGTTCCATTCTCTACCCTACTTACTTAGAATACTTGATCTAATTCAACTCCACCCCAACTTGCTCCTTGTCGTCGAATTGTGGCCTAACAACTGCCAAGCTGCTGCCAAATTCGCCACTATTGCTGTTGCCATCTTATCGCCATCCTAACGCCACTACCACCGCCACCGCTGCTATCCGCTACTACTCGCTGCTGCCGCCCGCCATTGCCTATTGTCGCCCATTGCTACTATCCGCCGCTGTCGCCCGCCATTGCCCATCGCCGTCCACCGTTGTTGCCCGTCATTACTCACCACTACCACCCTGCTGCCCTACTATTGCCGCCCTATCTCAAGTTATAACAACAACAACTAAAAGAACTCGTAGACCAGATTAGTAACCACGTAAGAAGAAAGCTATAAAATTGACTAATCCTGGTATTATTTCTTAAGAAATTGTCATATATCTTGCAAGACTATCAATTCATGATGATATATCCATGCATATTATACCTTCAATTCCTATGAAAAATAATCTTGAAATCGGAAGGAATAAGAACAAGTTGAGTAAAGAATTATCTATTTTGTATTGTGCTACAGATGATATTAGGGACAGACCATCTATTATGGTAGACTGCTATTGAGGAGGAATATGCCTCTTTGCATAAGAAGAAAGTCTTTGGTCCAATTGTAGATACTCTTACATCTCGTCTTGTGGGATATAAAATGGTATTAATATGCAAGCAAGATGCTCAAGGCCAAAGAATCCATTATAAAGCTTGTCTTGTTGCTCAAGGATTTACTCAACAATTTGGCATTGATTATGAATCCACATATTCTCCAGTCATGGATTCAATTATATTTTGATATATTATTGGAATGACAGTTCATGCCACCCTTGAGATCCATCTGATGGATGTAATAACTGCATATCTATATGGTTCTCTTGATGCAAATATTTATATGAAAGTTCTACCTCGCTTAGAAATAGGAACTTCAAATTGACCTGCTCTAGGAAAATATTGTGGTATTAAATTATGTAAGGCCTTGTATAGTTTAAAACAATCTGGACGCATGTGGTATCAACATCTTCAAGATTATTTAATTACAAATAATTTTATAAGTAATCCACTAATCCCTTGTTTGTTTATCAAATGAAATAAAACTAGTTTTGTCATCATCGCTATATATGTTGATGATCTTAACCTAATGGGCACTACATCTGCATGTGTTACAGCTACAAACCTACTTATACATGAATTTGAGATGAAAATGCTAGGAAAAATAACTTTTTGCATTGGTCTTCAGATTATGCATCTAACTGATGGTAGCATTTTTTTCTACCAACTAATATATATTAGACAAATCTTCCAAAGATTTAATATGATTGATGCTAATCCATTGTCCACACCAATGGTTGGACGTGGTCGTGATGGTCATGATCCATACCGTCCATACGAGGAAGAGGAGGAAATATTGGGAGACCAATATCCATACCTCGCAGCAGTTGGAACACTTTTGTATTTAGCTACATTTACAAGACTAGATATTGCATTTGTAGTTAGTGTTCTTATAAGACATAGTGCACGTCCAACACTACGACATTGGAATGGCATCAAACATTTATTACGTTATTTAAAAGGTATTGAAGACTTGAGATTATACTACACACAATCCGCAGATCCAAAATTGGTTGGATATTGTGATGCAGGATATAAATCTGATATTGCAACAACTAAATCTCAAACAAGATATGTATTCTTAAGACATGAAATAGCAATATCATGAAAATCAGTGAAACAAATAATAATTGCAACTTCATCTAACCATGCAGAAATTATTGCTTTACATGAAGTATCTCGAAAATGTATTTGGTTGCGATTAATTGATAAATTCATTCAAACAACTTGTGGATTTTTATATGATAATTCTCCAACTATCTTGCATGAAAATAATAGTGCTTGTATTGCACAGATGCAAGTTGGTTTCATTAAAGGCAACATGACAAAGCATATTGATCCAAAGTATTTTAGTTATATCCATGACTTGATTACTGATCAAGCACTTATAATTAAAAAAATTAAATCTACAAATAACCTTGCTGATCTCTTCACCAAAGCTCTCCCATTAAGCAACCATCGTCGACTTACTTATGGCATTGGTATGCGACGACTTGCTCTTCTTGAATAAGAAAGTTAATGAGCTCTTTAAATAATTAAAGAAAATGATGTTGTACTCTTTTTCCTTCATCTATGGTTTTGTCCTTAAATAAAATAAGGTTTTTCTAGATAAGGTTTTAATGAAGCAACAATTGTTGATCTTGCAAGATCACAAAAAAGTATAGATCATAATTCTATACAAATTTTATATTATGTAAATATTATGATGAGTAAGGAGGAGTATTGAGATCATTAAATGTAGCCGGCGCTCTCCATAATATTTATTGTAGACTACAATAAATACCATAGCTACAATATTTAGAGTCTAGTGGAGAAGTACTGTTTATCCTCTCCTCTTTTCTCTTCTTGTATACTAGACACAACTAGATCAATAGATTTGTGTGTGTGAAGCTCTCTCTCCTTAGAAACCCTCTTGTGTGTATGACTTACTACTACTCTTGTGTGTATATGACTTACTACTACTCTTGTGTGTGTATGACTTACTACTACTCTTGTGTGTGTGTATGACTTACTACTACTCTTGTGTGTGTATGACTTACTATTACTCTTGTGTGTGTATGACTTACTACTACTCTTGTGTGTGTATGACTTACTACTACTCTTGTGTGTGTACGACTTACTATTACTCTTGTGTCTTTCTAAACATTCTCAATAGTGTCAAAGCATTTATTGCCTCTAATGCTTTTTCCAGTGATTCCTCAGCATTTTGGTTTCATTTTTATATTGATTTGACTCTCGCCTTGAGGCAACTTGAGAATATGCCTCCACTGGGTTCATAGACCCGGTTTTTGATGGAGCTGGAGTGTTTCGCTTCTACAGGCTACAGCTGGAGTTTCCGAAGGGGAAGAAGGAGATGAAGCACATGGCAAATTAAATGATCGTTTTTAGATATATATTTTCGATTCGGAGCTTTGTTTCTCTCTGTGCATGTTTAACAAACTATAATTTCTGTTTCGGTGAGGTGTTCATGTTTTCGTCTTCAACACTCATCGACTAAAATTCATACTTGAGAGTATTGTGTGTAATACTATCGGTTGTTTTATTATTGAAAGAAGCGGATTGGGTAATGATGTGTGGTTAATTACGATAATTTTCTATTAAGTTGGGCCTGGGAAAAGATGTATTTTCCAAGAAACCTGGGAAAAGTTGTTTTGAAAGGTCTCACATTTTATGTGCTTTGTCAAAGCCTGATAAATAGGTTTGAGTGAAAAGCTTCATGGTCTGTGAGAAGTTTCATGTGTATATTCGTGAGGTTCTACACTTCACCTACCCCTTCCAAGTAACCAGCCATCAAAGTTACCAGAGCAAGTTGATGTATTTCTCATCATACGGTTCCTCCACCTTCTCGTCAAGCCTCTCTATCTCGAAATTCAAAGTTATCGATTAAAATGCACTTTCTCAAGATCCTTCTTTCAGTGATCGATCTCTATAAAATACAGACAGAAGAATGAGATGACAGACCACTTGCTGGACAACGCGAATCAGCTTTTGGTGATTTTCCAGTAAGACAATTCTGTTCTGGGATCAATATACGTTGCCCTTTGTCTGCTGTGGGCTAGGTTGAAAATGGAACAATTTAGTTCAGTGCACTGCACCAGTGCACATTGCAGATGTAAACAACCTGGGATATCCAAAGCCTCCTTTCTAGAGTACTCATCTACCAGAAAGATATCGCCCAGTTTCGTCCTCGGCAAGTTGTCCTCAAGACTCCCACCAGTTGCTGGCGCCTGTAGCAGATGTGCTCGAATCGATGCAGTTGAAATTCGTTTCCAGCTGTGAATCTGATGCATGGTTACTTCATGTGATGTTGTAAAGCAGCACGAGGTTCACCCGCCACACCCAATTGAGCCACAATGCTCAGGAGCTGCGCTGACGCAACTTCATTTTATCGCTAACCAACAACAGAGGCGACGCATCGGGAAATAAACTCATTATAAAAGTTCGCTTGCACACTGCAGGCTTACGCGAAGAAAATGCCATGATTGATACATTGCTGTAGGAAACACATCCCTGTCACTTGCTCAAAAACTCATGATAGCGGACTATGGGGTAAAATGGATAGTTCTCAGCGCTGTGATCATGGACAGGAAAGCATCTCTGCAATTCTTCGTAGTTTCGTGATCGCTCCGATCCTACTATTGTCAATGCCCACCAGCTGGTGACTCACGAGAAACTGGGAAGAAATCCCCTCAATTGCATCACAGCTGCAGGAAAACAGCCCAGTTAAGAGCAATATGCCCTGAATAGACGTTTTCTTTAAATAGTCATGAGAGATATGTAGCATGCTACATATTGCTCGTGCACGGTTGTATTAGAAGATATTTAAAAGGTATATTACCAGGAGATTTGTCGTTATCTGGAGGGGACGACGTTACATGGTGCATCGGTCTCCAATCTGCTTCCAGCTCAACAAAACTCAGTGGCACTGTTACGAATAGGTTAAAATTCACAAGAAAAATATTACATCTGTTCATTGTCGACTTTCTACGGACTCCTGCCTAGAGGCCTACCACTAGTTTTCCCATTGCCTTAACTGAGCTCAAGAGTATCGAAAAGAAAGTCAATTGCAACTTTGCGTCGTTGCCACACTGAAGTGTTGGCATCTACCTTACGTCAACGATGGGTTTTCACATCATATTTAATGCCGTTGATGTACGGAGAATTGGGAGGAGAGTTGTTTAAAAACAATTAGAGAGATGACATACTTTGTGAAGAGCGTTCGAATTCAGCATGGAGTTGGAAGCTTTTCTGAAGTACTCTGTAATGGTAACATTATAGAACCGTACTGGATGGTTTTCATTTTGCTAATCGGGAGATGGAAAATTAAATCAGTCATGTTTGAGGAAATCTAGCATTTTGACTAGTAACAATTGGCACAAGAGTTATGGAACCAAACATTCTACGAGAATTGATAGAACACTCATATTCAGGGTTACTGTATTCACTTTTTTGCTTTTTATATTCCTCCCCCAAATGCGGTAGAAACACAGTCTCCCACACATACAATATGCAAACACAGTCTCCCATACATACAATATGCAAACACAGTCTCCCACACATGTTTCCATCTTCTGTCAACTAAAAGATAACCTATGAGTCAGAATCTCGATAACTTGTCAGTGGGAACCCACCTTTTCAGCAAGCGTGCGCTACTGTACGGACATATTCGTATAAATTCATGCGTGTTACCAATGATCTGCTGCAGGTTGAGAACAAGGGTCACCCGGAATTGTGCCACCGTCGACATTCCTACAGTGAATGGCCGGTTTCCTGGCCCAACCATTGAGGTTAATGAAGGTGACAAGCTGATAGTTAAAGTGACCAACAAGCAGCAATACCCAGTCACCCTTCATTGGCATGGAATCAAGCAATTTAAAACAAACTATGCGGATGGGCCAGCACACATAACGCAGTGTCCCATACAACCAAACAAGTCTTACATATACGAATTTACGGTGAACGATCAACGGGGAACCTTCTTCTGGCACGCTCATGTCAACTGGATGAGAGCCACCGTTCATGGTGCCTTGATCATCCACCCCAAGAAGACAGCACCCTATGGTGAGGTCGAGGGCGAAATTCCGATCATCATGGGTAAGTTCACAATTTCCCCTCCTGCTGTGGACTTCTGTGTTAAGAATTCGGTAACATGTTTCTGGAGTGACGAATTGAGATATCTGTCCTCTTTAAACAAAAATCTCCGCTCTCGCACAACGTTACCCTGCATCTTCTTAATTGCGGATGACCTGATCACTTTGCAGGAGAATTTTTTGGTTTACATCCAAATGTCGTAGAGCTTGGATTCATCAACACCCTGACACCTGTAGAGAACAAAACTTCTTTGGCCAGCACCATCAACGGCTTTCCGGGATCCTTTTTCAACTGCTCCTCGGGTAAACAATTTCTGCTATGTATTTTAGTGCATCCATCTATGAATGATTAATGATTTGTTACTTGTATGTAACTGAGACTGAAGTTGAATTATGTGCTGTGCAGCTACCAAGGTGTACAAAGTGAAAAAGGATAAGACCTACCTACTGCGTATCATCGACGCTGCGATCAACAGCGACCATTACTTCGCCGTTGCCAACCATAGCGTTACAGTAGTTGCCGCGGACGGAAACTATCTGAAGCCCTTCGAAACCGCCTACGTGCCTATGTCCCCCGGCCAGACAACTGAAGTCCTCATCAAATTCGACAAGCCTAGGGGTCAGTGTCTGGCATTTGATACCTCATTTCACACATCTGTAATTAAAATTTGGGTGCTCTTTTGAATCTAAATTTATATCTCACTTTCAGATTGATTGAAATCGTTTTGCAGGAAGATATTACTTTGGCATGAACGCGGGGCCAGTCCCGACAGTGGGAGCCCCTCCGCCGTTTGTTCCAGCAGTAGCAATCATGAGGGTGCAGACTCCAGTTCCTCCGCCGTTTGTTCCAATGATAGACACTTGTTAAGCTTAGTATTCAATCTTTGTGTGTGACCCTCCCTTGCTTAGTATTCAAGCTTAGTATTCAAATTTTATTGAAAGCAATACTCATCAAACCTGAACAAAATAAGAAAACTAGAACCAAAACATCAAATACCAAAATATTACTGCAGCCCGTCTTGGCTATTGCTAAAAAAGATGTGATTCTCCTTCTCATAATTGCTGGAACAGTATGTTTACACATGTGGTCAGTGGTCGTCACCGTTTTGAAGAGCTTGAACTTCTGTCGACAGAATTCCTCGATGAGAGAACCTGGTGGGGAAAATACACAAAACGTGCAATCTTCAAGACAAGTTTGGAGGCAACTGAATGACGACAATCATTTACACTTAGCTTCTTCATTGGGCTCATCCAGCATACTTGCTGCAAGAATCGAAAGGAATGAAGATCTCCAGGAGCACGGGGCTGCAACATGTGAGCGTAACGAGAGCGATTTGGTAAGACGAATCTAACAGTAATGTTACATTACGCTTTTGATTCATAACAAGGAGGGAGATGAGGCCTAGCATCATCCGACTGAAAACCTTAAAACTCGCGAATGAAGGTGTTCAAAGAGATTGAAACTACAGTTCGTAATTGTTCCAAAACAAGCAGCTAACTCTCAAAAAAATTCCTAATGACCAACGAATTGTTGTTCCTAGAAACTCAACACAATATCACATTCTTTTTCCCCAAAGAGCAATTAGTGTACATTTGTTTATACACTTTCGAACTTGTGTTTTGAATGATATGTAGTCTAACCCCAGACTCATGGTTGAGCATCCATCTAAACCTCGCCTTTTAGGCAGTAATAACAGGAGTAAGCAAAAAGAACCCACTAGTGCCGAAATGTTTTTACAACTTGGTCGATGTGACGTCGACAAAGCGGGCAAAGCGAGAGCTGCGATGAGCACGACGTGCAGCAGCACATGTGTCCACATGGCACCAATACAGCATTGTAGTCTTGCTCCAAGCATATGACACACAAACTAGGCATTCCTCCATCCTTCTTCTGAGCTGTATGTGCGTTGTCATCGTGCGGGAATGCGGTAACACCATCGCTTTCCTCATCGACACCCTCTTGTTGCAATGCCTTTCTCAAAGCTGCAGCTTCCATCACCCTCGTGAGAAGAGCTTCTCTCCTCCACCGCTCCAACATGTGCTTGATGGCGCGGGATGTGATGAAGTAGATGCCCACAAGAGTTAATCCGAATGACATATACTGACACCATCGCGACCATCGGCCTAAATTCTCAATAAGCTGGTCCTGACTCTGAGGAGTTACGTAGAATGGCCCCTTATCAGGTTTCTGAATTCGAATGAGGCCTCGGTCATCTTGCACAGCTTCTCCTACAACGGTTAGGTTGGTGCCAGTGGGTAGCACTCTCTCCACCCGCTTCACACCCAGCATTTTCAATCCCTGCAAATAGTCCAGCGTTCCGCGCACAAGTGACCCCCCATACTCCTCAAAACTTTCGCTGGCAACAGTGAGGTCCATGCCCGCTGCATTCCGCGCTCCGATTATGAACACACGACTGGTGCCATCCTCCAGATACCATGGAACCTCTTTGCTGATGGACAGCATGAGTGCCGAGTGCTGAATCCACGAGCCAGTGTCGTTGTGCTTGAGGAAGTGCTGTTCGGCAGACTTCTCCAGGATTACCCCCCGCAGACTTGAATGCTCGCTAGCAATTGGAGCTTCGGCTCCCACACGACCGGCCACGGTAACCACCCAGGGAACAACCGTGCAGGCTGATTCCAGCAATTTTGCCAAGTCTTCGAGCTGGTTCACGCGCTCGACAGACATGAGATGAAGGGCATCGCGGCCTGTGTTACGACTCAAGCAGTAGAGCGCTGCTCCGCTAAAGCACAAGGTGATTCCCCCCCATGACAGCATGGCTGCTCTGCTCTTGCTGCTGTCAAGAGACCTTCGTGATATTCCTCATCAAGGATCACCCTGGTGTTAACTGCCTCACAAATTCGAATCCACGCGATTCCGTGTTCATTCACCACCTGTGCTAACTTCTGCACCAACAACACTCGCCTTGAGTCCAGCCGAACGGAACAAAATTCCGTGTGCAAACAACCTAAACCTAAACTAATTGTTATTTCGAATCAAATTTACAATATAATAGCGCATGATTGAGAACGCAATCGTGCATGTTTCCATTTCAGACATGCACAACGCGTGTAGAAATCCAAGTAGATAGCCCTCAATACCAATCTCCACACTCCATTCCACTCCCTCCTAGCATCTTCATCCTATCCAACGCCACTCCGCATTAGACGTAACATGCTTACCAACTCAACCCTCAAATTCTTTCCAAGGCTTCAAAGAAGAGGCATGCGCATAATTTTCGGTTTCAACTGCAATCCTACACCACTCAATGTAAACCTCCCTTGGATCTCAGCATGAAATTTTTCAAGACACAACCACATCAAGGATGGCCCACAGAGCTACTTCACAATCTCTGGCGACAAAGAAGATACCCAACTTCGGTCCCCGCACCCGAAATTCCTGTTGAGGGCTAGTAGTGAACAGCGTGGATTACCTCAAGGAAAATCCAAACAAGATACGACTCAAACATCAAAAACAACCTCAGAAACACGAAGCTTCGAGCAAACGGAGAACTGAGCGGTTGGCTTAAAATACGAACACAGAACGTCACAGTTGGCCTTAATCTAAGAGGCTAGCCATGCAACAAGGCATAGTTGACTAGTGCGAAGTATCGCTAACTTACTGACGTGGATGTCTTTCCCAGAATTAATGTGAAGACCTGAGGGATTTTGTAAGCATCCAACATGCTGTGAGTTACCAAACTGGCATTCAACAAAGTTCCCAACGCCTTTCTTCATTTGACCTGCTCTTGCTCTAAGTCTCAGGAAATGTGACTTTATTTCTTCATCTGTATACCGCTCGCCATTTCTTACACAGATACCTTGTGGCAAAGCAGGCATTCAGAAGAGACGAAGCAGCAGCAGGAAAAGTCACAACGTATAGTAGTGCAGGGGTTGACGTTCTCAGCCCTTCAAAAGAAATGGCTGAACAGGTTTTCATTTTTCGCCTCTCTGTTAGCCTCATCTGTTAAGGCGGTAGATATAGGCCATGGCGTGATAATGAGGAAGTCCCTTTACCTTTTGTAACATCGGTCAACAAAATTTTAGGGAGAACCGTCCAGAACTGTCTGAGTGACTGCCACTATCACGAAGGCATCGAGTGTTAACAGACATTTACATTCAATTGCCAAGGGGACACGATGACTCTGCGCTTCATAATGTTGTGCGTCTGATTCTAATAAAGCTTTTCAGAGTGACGATTCCTTACGATTAATATGTTGTAGGCTGTCCTGCCCTTGTTGGATGAAGAGTTCTCACGCATCGAGCATGTCTACACATCTACTTTGATCCAGAAGGTGGTTACTTTCTATCAGAGCGCAGCATAGATTCTATTAATCATCATAGAACTATTCCGGCTAACTAGAGGAAATGATGGCAATTTTAACTGTGAAAGTTGTAACTCTCTGATGGAACAGTGTAATTAGTTATTACCAGGTAGCTCATTTACGTACATGAGTTTATAGTTCTAATTGTGGACCTTCATTGCTTGATATCTCTATGACAAATGTGGAATCATTGAAGCAAGTGGCAAGTTATTTAAAGATTACATTACACCATTATATGTTGATGTCAAAGTGGTAATAATGTCACTATCTTTTAGAAGCCAAGAGAGTGTTATTTTTGACGCCTTCCCTCACTCTCTGCATTACATCTCCATTATTATGTCTTATTACTGATTTCTACTTATGTATGCTCTTGAGATGTTATAGACACAAATAAAAAACTTAACAACAATAATTTGATGTTCTTGACACCATCCATTTTTTTAGCACAATAGTTATTATTACAATATTACATCAATTCTAATACTTGTTGTAAGAAATTGACATCTTGTTGCTTACTTTATAGTGCATCTTTACTATTCTTCACAAAATTATTGACTTTTTTGTGATATCTTTGTTTAAGTAACTTTAAGTATCATTGGTTATGACAAACATACATATTTATTCTAATAATTATCTATATAATTAAGAAAAAGTAGATAAAAGTAGATTAATTTCATACTATCTTGGTTAATTAAAGATTACATTACACCATTAATATAGACATTGCTTTGACTTTACACGTGTTTGTAGTTAATTGATAGGCTAAAAATTTGGTCAACAAGTTAGCCACATGACACACATATTAGTAGTATGTAGAACAAGCTAACTATGTGGCACACAAATAAATAACTTGCCTTGCAAGTTAAGTCATGTATCTAACAAAGTCAACATATATTAGAAATCCTATAGAATAATACCATGTAGCTCCTAGTAAGAGAGTATATATAAAGGCAAGATTGACGCCTTTTTCACTCTTGTTAATGCCTTTTTAATCCTCAATCTTATTTCAAAACTTTTTAGTCTTCTTGTCTTTGGCAATAGCCATTCTAATTCAATATATTATTATTTTTAAGTGATTTCCTAGTCTTTTTGAGTGACACAAGTGTGTATTGATATTTTCTTTCTTTGAGATTCATATCCTTGAAAGTTTGACAAGAGTACTAATTCATTATTCTTATTTTGATTTAGAAGTGAGTGGATTACTCCACTTCTATTATTGATATAGACATATACATGTAAACCAATAATTACCTATATGATTATATAAAAGTAAGTAAAAGTAGATTAATTCTATAATATCTTCTATAGAAGTTCCTAAAAGCTATATAGACATTGCTTTGACTTTGTAGGTATCTATAATTGGCTTTTTAGATTAAAAACGTGGTCAATAAGTTGGCCATGTGTTACATATGTTGGTAGCTTGAAAAACAAGCTAATTATGTGGCCCACATATAGAAAACTTGCTTTGTAAGCTAAAGCATGTATCCTACAAAGTCAACACATATTAGAGGTCCTATAGAACATTGCTACATAGCTCTTAGTTACATAGTATATATAGAGGCAAGAATGAAGTCCTCTTCAGTCTTGTCAATTTTTTTCTTACTTCTAGTCTAGATTCAAGAATCTCTAGTTTCTTTGTCTTTTGAGAATAGCCATTTTTAGTTTCTTTTTAATATATATACTACTTTATTTCTATTTTTTCACTTTTCTTTTAGCATAGATTTTCAAGATTTATGCATCTTTTCTATTTCATGTCCGTGTCGATTGTTATTTTTTGAAGATTACAAACTATTTACCTTTAAAAAAATTGTTTGATTTTGTAATATTGATTTTTTTCTTTAAAGATAGTAGATTATCCTTCTTTGTGGAAATTTTCATTTGATATTAGAAATTGGATTATTTTCTTTCAATTTGACTTTTAGATTTATTAAGTTATTTAAAAATAAAATAAAAAAATCATGGATGCTATACTTAGTGGAAGTGAGAATAGATTTGTACCTATTATAGATCTTTATGAACTTATCAACATTCTTAGAGTAAAAATTTCATGTATCACTAGTGCTAACAATAGAAATACTAGTCCTACACCTGTAGAAGAAGTTTAGAATCTACATCAAGAAGTTGTGTAGTTAAAAGAAGCAAGTAGATTGACTTCACATCCAAATCTAATAAGTTTTGCTTCTACAAATACGATGGGGATAAAGATTAAAATTTTAAAGGAACTTGCAACAATTCAAGCTCTATTTAAGATTGTATTTCTTCCAATATCTTAATAGATTTACTCAAGTTGGATTCATAAGTACACTTCTATTTGGAAGTGCTTTCTTTTAGTTTGTATCTTTGATGGAAAAGGATTCATGATTCTTTTATGATTTGAATTTATTCTTAAAAGTGTTTATGGCTACATTCAAAGAAAGTGATTGAGAAAGAATAGCATAGATCAAGTTCTTATCTTTACCATGAGGATTATAATTAGCCACCATATATATTGCTAAATTCTAAAAATTTGCTTGTAATGTGGACTAGAATGACAAAGCCCTTCTTAATTAATTTTAATATGAATTAAATGAATATATCAAAGATTTATTATTAACAGTATTGAAAGTAAAATCTTTGGAATAATTTATTACTCAAGCCATTGTATATAATAATTTATTATTTAAAAAACATCAAGAATAAAGATTCAATTGGAGAAAAAAAAAGTCAAGTAATAATGGTAGCTCTTAAGTTTTTATAAACTTATTCATCAAAGCCAAAATCAATGCAAATTGATATGGTACAATTTAAATTCTCCACAAAATAGGAAAAGACTCAACATTATTAAGAAGATTTGTGCTTATATTATAGAAAAGCTATGTCCATTTTTCAATATTTTTCAAAGAAACAACGTAATCACAAAATGAGCAAAATTATTGCCAAAAAAGATAATATGTTGAAAAATAAATTTTTTTAGCTACAATAGGGACCATGCAACTAGAATCATATGTAAGTCCTAGTAAAGGTCTTATTTTCTTTTCAACTAATTTACCTTATTTTACAGTAGATGTGTGTTTAAGACCTATAAATTACAAAGTCTTTGTATTATTAGATTTAGAAGCCTGAAGTTGTTTTTATAGATAAAGACTTTGTCAAAAAATAAGAAATATCTTTAGCCAAGAAAACTAAATTTGTACATGTAGAAGTCATAGATGGTTGTTTGTTGTCTTCTAAGAATGTTATCTATGAGATTATTCCTTTAGATGTAGGAATTAAATATCATTATAGCATAATAGTATTTAATGTGATAAGATTTTCCTCCATTCTAATTATTTTAAGATTATTGTGGTTAAAAAAATATAATCTTTAAATAGATTAGATTTCTTATATCTTTAATTTTTTTAGTAGTTTAATCCAAAATCCCATTAGTCAAGTAGAAATATAAAAGTCTAATACATCTAAATCCTTATTAGTAGGTGCAAGCACTTTCATGCATGTCACAAAAGAATGGCCATTTTTTACTACATATGTTAGGCCTATTTTTTATTATAAAAAATATCAAATATTATTCCTAGCTAATATCAAGATTTTTAAGATATTTTTTTTAAAAAAATATAGATATTCTTTCAAAGTATTGATCTTATGATTGTTCAATTGATTTATATGAAGGAACTCAATTATTATTTAAACTACTCTATAGCTTATTGAAAAATGAATTATCTACATTAAAAAAAATATATTAATAAAAAATTAGCTAAAAACTTCATATGCCATTCAAAATCTCCAACAGAAGCTAATATCTTATTAGTGAAGAAAAATGATGAAATTCTAAAAATCTGGATAGATTATTGAGGACTTAACAAGATCACCATCAAGCATAGATATTTCTTACCTTTGAGTTTAGGACTTCTTGAGCAAGTCAATCAAACAAAGATCTATATAAAAATAGATTTAAGAAGAGCATATAATCTAATTTGTATCAAAGAAAGAGATAAATGGAACTAGGTATAGATATTTTGAATATAATTTCATGTCTTTTGGATTCATAAATACTATTGTAATGTAACACAACTAATAGGTGAAAAGTGTGAAGAAATCATTATATTATAGAAGATCTTACTTCAAATATTATAAAAAATTATTTTAAAAAATAAAAAATAGTCCAAAAGAAAGTAAAACTAAAGTTGTAAATATTATCTTTTTATAAAGTAGGCTTTTATTTATTTTTTAAGGCCATAAATAAGACAAAATAAGGTAGATTAAAAAAATAAAGAAAA